AACCTGCTACTGTAGAAATGGAGGAAAGATGTCAAAGTCTTCCACAAGAGCCGGGCTCTTCAGAAGACATCCCGAAAGCAGCTTCTGATGCTCCAAATGATGCTCAATCTCTTCCACAAGAACCTACTATTGCAGAGCAGGTAATTCTGACACAAGAACCTGCACTAGTAGACGAGATGACAGCTGCTCAAACATCATTTGTCCCGAAACCATCTGCTCGTCAATCTTCTCTAGACCGGTACACCCTCGATAAATCTCTCAGAGAATCGATTGAAAGAGATTACAATCGAGTTCTACAATGGCACAAGTGGCGCACGGCACCTCTCAGAACCTTTCTCGAAACTTTTGAAGCCATGATCGACGAAGAGGAATTCGCACTTCAATGGCTTGAAACTCAGGACGTCACAAGGGCTGTGCGAATTGAGGAGATCCACCGAGTGTACTCTTATAGAATAACTCATCGATCTCTCGGGAAGGACAAAGCTCCCTTGGTAGTTCCTCTTCATAAACCTCCCATGGATCCAGCAACTGAAGCCGAATTGAAACAACTCCGCTACATCATGCTGCTATCCAAAATTAAAGCCAAAATGGCAGAAGATCATCCTCGAGATCCCAAAGGCAGTGCTAGTGGAACGAAAGATGTTCATGGCAACGAAATCGAAGAAGAGGATGAAGAAGAAAATGAAGACGAGAACAATGATGATGAAACAGAAGACGACAACAGTGATACTGATGATACTGATGATGATGATAATGATGATAACAATAATCATCAAGGAGGAGAAGGTGCTGAAGAAGAAGAACCAGAAGATAGCCACACTATCTTGGTCGAAACGGACTATGCTCACTGTCCACAAAGACCACCTCTCTTGAAAATACCATCTGAAGACGAAGACTCGGATGAAGCATCCAGTAAAAATCCAGTTCACTCGTCTCGTGCTATCATTCCGCATCTGAACGAATCTGTACAACAACAACATAATCTTCCAGCTCATGAGGACAGAAAGGAAGCCTCACCTGAACATGGCCACTCGATGCATGGTGAAAATCCGGAAGCACCACATCATGATGAACACAGAAACTCTTCTCCAACACACATTGAGGACGATTCTATCGCTGAGTCCCCACGGACCATTATGAACCTCATGCGAGAAACTGTTCATTCAGCTGAACTGATTCACAAGCAATATCTCGCCCTAAGGGAGAAGGACACGAGAGTATTGAATGACCTGTGTGAAAAAGTCAATCTACTCCTTGATGTACAATCTCAACCACAGCAACCGAATCCTCCTCACGACAAAACTCTTAAGCAATTGGTGAAAAGAGTTTCTGATCTTGAAGAGAGTTCAAACAAAGTCGCTAGGCAGCAACACGAGATTAAGCATTCTCATTACGGCCTCAAGGAACGTGTTGACCTAGCCTGTACCAAGATTGACACTTATCAAGACAATTCCTATCAACTTGGTGAATATGCTCTTCAAATTCTGGGATATGCTCAAGACATCCTGCTTGCAATCAGCCAAATCCCCTCTGTACCTCCTTCTGCCTGCGCTGATGATGCCAAAAAGGGGGAAAATAGGGATGATGACAGAGATAAGGATGATGACAACCAACCAAGAAGGGATAACACGAAAGAAAGATCTTCGGAAAAGCGAGTCTCTCCTCACAAAGTCTCGGGTCACAAAAATCCCTCTCATCCACCTCCTAAGTCTCGTGGACAGTCCCATGATCAAAGACGCCATGGTCGCACTCAAGACAGACCTCACAAGGCTCGACAATCTTTCGGCTCTGAAGCCAAATATTTCTTCACAGGACTGTCAAGAAGAGATCAAGTAAGACTAAGACAAAGGCTCATGAAAAATACCTCAGTCACCATGGATGGCATTGGAAACTTCGTGGACTATGTCCCATACGAAGAAGGAAGCGGTAAAAGATTTGAAGGTTGCAACAATCCTATATTGTTGAAGAAGAAAGACAACCACACAAGGCAAAACTACATGAGCACTCAGAACGAAAGGATTAAAAGACAAAACAAGGAGTTGTGGGAAAAACACGATGAAGAGATCAGGAGAAGAGATGATGAAGCTAGAGAAAGATAAAGGATTAAGAATCTCATCGAAGATCTATCAAATGTAACCAAAGACTCTCCTCAAAATGTCATGCTCAATGCAGCTTTCAAAGTGCATAAAGAGTCAGGCAAGAGCTATCAAGAAGGAATGAATTCGTTTGAACTGATCTCCTGGTGGAAGTCTGGAATAGTGGAAGGCAACAACATTCGAGAAGCCTACAACAATTACACGAGTCTAAACATCAAAGGAGGATATGAAGAACTCGTCAGAAACAATCCAATCAGGACTTTCAGAACAAGAATCAACGAGAAGATAGACTACGAGAGAACACAAAGAAGACAGAAAGAGAAGGACAATCAAGAAAGAAAGAAGGAAGCTCAGCAAAGGCTGAATCTTTTAGAAATGTAAGTTATCCTTTGTTTTTATTTCTTTTGACAGAGTTTTTGTAATGACTTTATCTGAATATCTATGAAACTCTCATTGTCACACATCTCGTGTCACTTGTCTGAGTTAAAAAGTCCTTGTCTTTATTTCTGCTGCTTCTTCGTAGAAAATTCTTGTAAACTCTCGATAATGGCTGTGTTATTAATAGAATTATCCTTGAGGAGCACTTTCTCAGCCTTATAAGAAGAGTATAGGATTTTGATGATACCAATGTAATGTAGAAAGTAGACCCCTAACTCTTACGTTTTTCTTGTATCGCTACTTTCGTTCTAGACGAAAGTTGCCATAACTCATATGTAATTCGTGTTAAGCTAGAACAAACACACGAAAAGAGTTATGAATAGAAGATAGGCTGATCAAGACGAAAGAAGACTCCACAGCAACGAAAGAAGGAGTTGTCATTAAGAAGACAGTTCTTTTCAAGACTTTCTCAACAAGTATTCTTCTTCTCATCAACAAGAAGAATGTTCTACCAGTCTGATTTGACAACATCCTAGGACAATAAGGACCTCAACTCATGGGACACGCTCTCCAAAGAGCATTTAATGAAGCTGTACTATCTCTGGAGCTAAAAGACAAAAGCCATCAAATCCTCCATACCTTCAACGGCTACATAGTACAAACCCATCAATGGAGCATTAAATGCATGAGGCTCCATGGTCCTTATCCAACAGATAAAAGGTTCGAAAAATTCATCTCCCTCCAACGGATGAATTTTCATCACCTATATAAACCAACCTTCATCAACTAAGAAGGTGCTGGTTCATTATCACTCTACTCACTCTCTTGCAAAAAGTCCTTGCAAAGTTAACAATCTCAAAGCTTTTTGCGAACCAGTTACTTAAGGTGTTAAGGCATTTGAAGTAGATCATCCATCACTACCTTACATCTTGAAAGAAGTCTTGCACTCTTGAAGCAATCATCCCACACCATCAAGACTTCACAGTTGGAGGAATCAAGAAATACTTTCTTACCAACCTCAACTTAGGAGAAGAAGTTGATAGAGGCGGAGTACACTCTCGGAGTTGAAAAACCTTCAAAGGCTGTCCGGCTTAGTGATCAAGGAAGTCTTTGTGTAATTGTACTAAAGAGTGATAGTGCAATCCTTCCAGCAGTTGTGGAAGAAGAGTGGAAGTAGGCAACGTTTGGTCGAACCACTATAAAATCTCGTCTCTCTCTTCTCTTTACTTATTGCTTTATTTTACTGCTTGCATATCATCTTTTTCATCACTCCTCTTAACATTTTATCAAACTCGTGCAACCCTCCCTTTATAATCTTTCCGCTGTGCTTATCTTACTCAAAAGTGTTGTCAGGGTTTTTCTTTTAAAAACGAAAAAAAAACGAGAGTCTATTCACCCCCCCCCCCCCCCCTCTAGACTCACCACACAATCTATCGGGACCAACAGACTGATGTTTGGGATAGATGTACACTTGCAGATTGTTTGCCGTAGCGTTTACCGTGTTTGGTAGACGTGGCGTGACACCCCGTTGAATTTCTTTTTATCCAGTTTCGTTTTTATCTTCCGCTGTGCTAGTTTTGTCGCTTAATCTGCATGTGTTTAAGGCTTTTATATAGGTCTTGTTTGGGGGTGTTACAATTTAGGTTTGGGGTTTATTCAGAAATGCATTCTATACTGTTAAAAAGTTTGAGAAAAATACTAGAATGTTAGTTTTATTTTCAAATTGCATCATATCAAATCTATTAGATTTTTACAAATAGATGGTTGAGATTAGTTTTTTTTTTTTTTGTTTTTTTTTTTTTTGTTTGTTTGTTAGAATATGTCTCTCATGTGAGTTTGTTTATAGAATTGCTTTACGTCACTCTTTGTCTATAGAATTGCTTCTTTCTTCTTCTTTTTTTTTTTGTCCCTCAATTATCTACAAATTGAAGTTTTTAATTAACTTACTGTAATAAATAAAAAAAATAAAAAATAAAAAATAAAACTAAAAATAGAGACTATTTCGCAGACCATTGATTGATGAAAAGTCACAAAGAGTATATACTTGTTGGACAAAAAAAAATATTTTATGATAATTTATAGATAAATTGTCAGTTTCCTTATAATAATAATATTAAGGAATAAGAGTCAAATAGGCCACTCAACTGTACACCAAAATTATAATTAGGCCATCGAACTCAAAAATAATACAATTGGGTCCCTGAACAACACAAAATAATACAATTAGGTCCAAAATGACCTGTTTACCTAGAAGAGCAGGTTACCAATTTAAAAAATAATTTAAAATAAAATAATTAATTAAACTTTCAATCGAGATTATTCTGTAATCACAAACTTGCCATTATTAATGGGGGACAATCCATTGTCAGTCAATGTAATACAAATTTTAGTTAATTAAGTAATTCTAAATATCCAGATATCTCCCTGCGACCTAGGGTTTCCCTATCTTCCCCCCTGCGATCTAGGGTTTCGGCAAAGAGTGCATGCGAAGGTTGACGACGAACGGCGAAGTGCTGCTGATCTCCGATGGACGTGCAGGATATCATAACACACACAGCGGACATCACCCTGGACGATGAAGAACAGGGAATCCGCTTCGAGGATGAGGAGTTCGGCGTCCAAGCTCTACCGGCGGCGAAGTCGACTTGGACCATTGTAGGTCGTTTTCTGACGGATCGGAACCTCAAGACCGAGGTCATGAAACACGTTATGGCTTCGGCATGGAAGCCTCTGATGGGCATTGAGATAACGGATGTGCAGGCCAATTTGTTCTTGTTTACCTTCTTTGATGAACTGGACATGAGACGGGTTATCGATGAGGGACCTTAGGCGTTTGAGAATGCGACGCTGCTATGCCAAGTCCTGAAGGAGGGTGAAGATCCGTTACAGGTTAGTCTGAATACGGTGGACTTATGGGTACAGGTTTCGGACATTCCACAGGGATACCGTACGGCTAAAGTGCTGGAGAGAATTGGGGATTATGTTGGGGTTTTCTTGCGCTATGATGAACGAAATTTTGAGAGGCAATGGACTTCCTTCTATAGGGTTAGAGTCACCCACGATGTCTCAAATCCTCTAAAGCGACGAATGAAGATGATTCTGAGAGATGGTTCCTGGACATGGATAAATTTTAAATATGAGCGCCTCCACATGTTTTGCTTTTTCTGTGGAAAGATGGGCCACACGGATAAATTTTGCTTGCAAGCTCGCCGTTCGTTGTTACGACCGGAACAATATCCGTTTGGTGTGTCGATGAGGGCGGGGGGTACGGGTCCGGCGAAGACATTGGGGGAAAAATGGTTTCAACTAGGCCAAGAGAGGAGGCGTGAGATTGGCTATGGGAGTGAGGGAGGGGGAATGGCGGTGGCTGCTGGGGTTGGGAGGGGTGGACTGTCTCGGGTGGAGGGGGCTACGGCCACGGGTAGGGTGGGTTCGGATGCTGGAGATGTGGAGGGGATGGGCGGTGAGGGCGTTGGGGGTGAGGGCGTGGGAGTTCGGGTAGATCCCAAAAGGAGGAGGACGGACAGAGGGGAGGTGAATGCTGTGAATGGAGACATGGTTGTTGATTCTGAATCTTTTTTGGCGGGACCTGTGGATCAGGTCCGCCGGTCCCAATGAGTACCATAAGTTGGAACTGTCGTGGCTTGGGTAATCCACAGACAGTTCGCGAGATTGAGGGCATGGTGTCCTCGAAGAAACCCGACTTTGTATTTCTCATAGAAACCAAGGTTGATCGTGATCATGCGGAGCGTCTTCGGGTTAAGCTTGGTTTTGATGGCCTTTTTTGTACTAATAGTTCTGGTTTGAGTGGTGGAATTGCTCTATTGTGGAGAACGAATAATACAGCGAGATTGATTAGTTACTCTACAAACTATGTGGATGTTGAGGTGACTATGCCGGGGTTTGAGAAGTGGAGAATGACTGGCTTTTATGGTTTTTCACAGAGGGGTCAAAGGAGAGATTCGTGGGATCTTATTCGTACCTTAGCTGGCAAATCGAATCTACCGTGGGTGATGATTGGTGATTTTAATGATTTACTTTATCAAGCTGAGAAACGAGGTGGAAACCCCCATCCTCTGAGCTTATTGCATGGATTTGGTGAGACTATAGAGGAGTGTGGATTAGCGCAGATGCCAATGATGGGATATCCATTTACCTGGGAAAAAGGAAAAGGCACACCGAATTGGATTGAAGAAAGATTGGACAAGGTTTTGACTAGTCAGAGTTGGCGTGACATTGTGCCGGATGCTAGTGTGCAAAATATATTGACCCGAAAGTTAGATCATTCCGCTCTTTTCCTTGGGATTCTGAATCTTCGGGAAAGGATGGGTGGTCTGAGAAGAGGGTTCCGTTTTGAGATGGCATGGCTGCATGATGAAGGATGTAGGGATGTGGTGGAGAAGGCGTGGGATGAAGGTGCTGGTAGGGGATTGCAGGAATGTATCTCTATTTGTGGAAATCGATTGTCGCGTTGGGGAGGAGAGCGTTTTCATAAGTTTGGGGAACGGATCAGAAACCTGCGGAAGGAGCAATTGCGCCTCAGGGGGTGTAATGATCCGAGCTCTTTAGCTGAGTTCCAACGTTTGGAGGAGTGCCTATGTCGTATTGAGGCCCAGGAGGATACATACTGGAGGCAGAGGGCCAAGCAGCATTGGCTTAAGAACGCGGATGCTAACACAAAATACTACCACAGGTATGCATCTCATCGCAAGAAAAAGAATACTATTTTAAAAGTTATGAATGATAGTGGGGATTGGGTGGAGGGTGATGCCATGAGGAATGTTATCTACAATTATTATAAGACTATCTTTACATCTGGCCCTCCAAGTGATAGTGGGGATTTCTTTGGAAATATAGCCTCTCGGGTAACACAGGTTCAGAATGAGTTGTTATTGCGGCCCTTTGATGCTAGTGAGGTTAAGAGTGCTCTGTTTTCAATGTTTCCTAACAAAGCACCAGGACCGGATGGAATGAATCCAGGTTTCTACCAGCACTTCTGGGATGTAGTGGGTGGTGATGTATCAGCATATATTGTGGATTGTCTTAATAATCGCTCGTTTCCAGCTCGCCTGAATGATACGAATATAATATTGATCCCTAAGAAGAAAACCCCAGAGATGGTCTCGGATTACAGACCTATAGCACTGAGTAACGTGGTGTACAGGATTATGGCTAAGGTTATAACTGCCAGGATGAAACCACTTATGGGAGGTATTATATCTGACACCCAAAGTGCTTTTATTTCTGACAGGCTAATAACGGATAATATTTTGATTGCTGCAGAGGTGGGGCATTTTTTGAACAGAAAACAATGTGGAATCACAGGATGGGGGGCTTTGAAACTGGATATGGCAAAAGCCTATGATCGAATGGAGTGGCCATTCTTGCGTAGTATGATGTTAGCATTGGGTTTTGATGAAAGGTGGGTGGATTTGATAATGTTGTGTGTGACCTCAGTTTCGTATACTATTCAGATTGGTGGGACTTGTAGTGACCAGATCATGCCGACCCGTGGATTGAGACAGGGTGACCCACTGTCACCTTATCTCTTTATTATTTGTGCGGAGGGACTTTCATTGCTATTACAGCAGGCACAATTGAGAGGAGATCTACATGGGTGCAGAGTAGCTAGGGGAGCCCCCCTATATCCCACTTGTTTTTTGCAGATGACAGCTTACTCTTTTTTAGAGCAACAGCGCAGGAAGCCAGTGTGGTAAAACAGTGTTTAGCGGCTTATGAGGAAATGTCTGGGCAAGCAGTGAATTACTATAAGTCAAGTATTTGCTATAGTAAGAATACGCGGGATGAGCAGAGAGGGGAGGTTGCCGATATATTGGGAGTGGTTCAGGCGCCGAATTTTGGGAAGTATTTAGGACTTCCATCGTTTGTGGGCAGGAATAGGAGAGCAGTATTCTCTTACATTGATGACAAGATCAGGCAGCGGATTGGGTCCTGGAATAAAAAACTGCTTTCACAGGCAGGTAAGGAGGTCTTATTGAAAAGTGTGGCACAGTCTATGCCCACCTTTTCTATGAGTGTCTTTTTACTACCTTTGAATACTTGCACGGCCATTGAGAGAGCTATGAATCGTTACTGGTGGAGAGCTAAGGATGATCAGGGCATCCATTGGAAGGCATGGGATAAATTATGCATCCCCAAGAAATATGGAGGATTGGGCTTTAAGGAGTTGCATGCCTTTAATTTAGCTATGTTGGGAAAGCAGGCCTGGCGTTTGCTCACCAAACCTGAAACGCTAGTTTCTAAAATATATAAAGCCAGGTATTATCCTAAGGGGACTTTCTTTGATGCTTCTGTGGGGAATAATCCAAGTTACTGCTGGCGTAGTATTATGGCGGCACAGGAATTAGTTTGTGGGGGTGTCAGACGCAGAATTGGGAATGGAAAAGAAACTCTTATATGGGAGCATCCATGGCTCCAGGATGATAATAATGCGGAAATAATCACTGACAAACCACCATATTTGGCGCAGGCAACTGTGATGGGATTAATAGACCAGGAGACGGCGACCTGGGACCATGAAATTTTAAATGATATTTTTATTCCGGAGGATGTGATGCGAATATTGAAAATACCTGTGTCACCAGACTATGAGGATATGTGGTATTGGCATGGTGATGTAACCGGAGAATACTCGGTAAAAAGCGGCTACAGGCAAGTGGTGGGAGATTATGTACACACCACAGGAATGTTTGATAAATGACCCAAATTATGGAAACTCAAAGTACCCCCGAGATGGAAAACTTTCTTATGGAGAGCCTTGAATAATATATTGCCCACCACAACGAACCTCATTATAAAGAGAGTGGAGATTAGCCCAACATGTGCTATGTGTGGGATTATGCATGAGAATGTTATGCACTCTTTGGTTGAATGTGATTATACAAGGAACATTTGGGCACAATCTCACCTTCCAATCCCCAATACTATCACAGATATTTTTCATGTTTGGTTTAATGAAGTATTAAATATTCTAGATGATGATGGAATTATTTATGCAGTAGGCCTGCTATACTATATATGGCGAGCAAGGAATGGAGCTGTGTGGGATGCATACTTGCCCAGACCACAAAGGATAATTGCAACCGTAGCCGCAGCGATCCGGGCGTGGCGAATTGCACACCCGGACCGCCCGCAACGCCTGCATGCTCAGCGTGGATCCACCACGGCAACTGCCGAGCAGCGGCAGGAAACGGCACTGCCGCATGCGCACATACCGCCCACAATCCACACGGCTGCCCTCTCACGGAAGAAATGCTACATTGATGCAGCCTTTGTCCATGCCACAAGTAAAGCCGCTGTTGGGGCAATACTACTAGACGAACAGGGATTGTATATCACAGCTCTACAGGCGCCTTTGGTAAACTGTTTCTCCCCGTTTATGGCAGAAGCAATTGCGTGCAAGGAAGTACTATCTTGGTTATGGGATCGTGGAGAGAGGTCGGTAGACATACTAACGGATTGTTTGTCACTACAACAGTACTTGTCACAAGCAAAGGGTACACCACGTTCGTACCTCGGCTATGCCATTGATGCCTGCAGAAACCGGATGGTTTCCTTTAATTATGTTTCAGTTAATTATGTTCCTAGATCAGATAATCGTTTAGCACACATTTTAGCCACTTCGGCCTTTAGTTATTCAGCACCGATGTACTCGGACAATGGTCCGCCAGACACTATTTCAGCATACTTTCAATAAATGCCGCGCAGGCTCTTTTCAAAAAAATTAAACTTTCAATCAAATTTAAAAAAAAAAAAAAAAAAAAAAAAAAAAAAAAAAAAAAAAAACTAATCTACTGATTCGTCTCCATGGCCGGAACCTACGTCTCCAGCCATGGAGACGAAGGGAGGAACTCCATGGCCGGAGACCACCGGCCATGGAGTTTCGTCTCCATGGCCGGAGACCACCGGCCATGGAGTTTCGTCTCCACGGCGGAGACCACCGGCCATGGAGACGAAACTCCATGGCTGGTGTTCTCCGGCCATGGAGTTTCTCCCTTCGTCTCCATGGCTGGAAACGTAGGTTCCGGCCATGGAGACGAATCAGTAGATTAAGTTTTTTTTAAAAAAAATATTTTTAATTAATTATTTTATTTTAAATTATTTTTAAAATCGGTAACCTGCTCTTCCAGGTAAACAGGTTATTTTGGACCTAATTGCATAATTTTGTGTTGTTCAAGGACCTAATTGCATTGTTTTTGAGTTTGATGGCCTAATTGTAATTTAGTGTGCAGTTGAGTGACCTACTTGACCCTTATTCCTATTATTATTATTATTATTATTATTATTATTATTATTATTATTATTATTATTGTCACATTTTTAAGTAGAAAATACATAATTTTGAAAACTTTACTACTCAAATTAAAATTTAAAAGTGTATATCAGAATCCAGCACACACATCACAACAAGGATGTAAAGGGGATAACTCAGCCAAGTTGGTCAAGCTGTTGACTTGGTAATCACAAACTCTCTAAATTGGTTTAACTCTTTATGGTCTTTTACCGACTAAAGTCACAAGACAGGATTTACCACGTATACAACTCGCATAGTGACTTTAAATTTCCTCATCACTATTATTAAAAAAAAAAAAAAAAAAAAAAAAAAAAAAAAAAAAAAGCCTTCCTGCAGCACTGTAATTAAAGTTATATTCTTGTAATTTTTGTTCCCTCTCTAGGATGAGTACATGCAATTATTACATCTTTATTGCAACACGATGAGTATATCAATTTAATTTCAACAGAATGCAAATATATCTTTCTTCTTCTCCTCCTCCTTTCACTTATAAATAGATTCTCTACGTCCAGGACTCCATGGCACAGCGGCAAATATCAAAATCAAATCAAAATCAAGGTAGTGAAGATGCATTACTGGGCGACTCTCCCTCTGGCAGAAGCTGTATTATTTTAGCCACTTCTTAATTAAAATTAGCTCTCTGCCAAAGGAGATTTGTCCCGCAATTCATCGCAACAATAACTTATTACTCACTCAATAAGACGAGTTAGGGTGACTATGCTCTTGAATTTAGCATGTTGCGAGGCCTCTCACGAGCGTGACAGGTCTCGTGATAACTTTGACTTTCTCTATGAAGTTTGTTTCCACAACATCCTTCATTAAAGCAGAGTCCGGATTTTGAAGTTGGTCTCATGAAGTCTTTCATGTAGTGCGTGACATCCTTTGTGATAGTAGAAATCACTTTCTGAAGTTGTGTTTCACGCCACCCTTCACGTGAGTGAAAGCCTTTCGTGACAACCGCATCTCCCCATCTAGCCACTTCACCTTACTTTGTCCAATTTAAATCCAAATTGTCCTGGATTTAGCCCTATTTTACTTCAAACCTTGGCGTATTTCCAAACTTACTTCTTCCTACACAACAGATCACACAATTGGTCAAGTCAAGCAATATTAAAGCAACCCGTACCTGAAATTGACCAAAATATACATCACAAAGTAGTCCAAATGAACACCTATCAAATTCATCTTGTAATGTCCACATATATTTATTTACAACAATATACAAATATTAAAAAATTACAAGATTATGCAATCATCAAGTTTTTTGAAAAAATAACAAAACACTTCATTACACAAATACTAAAAATATGGAGTACACAATACTTAAAATTACATTGTTTGGTAGTATAATCAAGAATAGAATGATCCTGAATTGGAAGGGAAGAAGTAGATAAAGACTAAAATGTCATTGTATAATAATAATAACAAGAATTGTAAATCCATGGAATTACAATTCCACAAAGTGTAGAATTTCAATTCCTAGGGGGACCGCTAAGAATTGCAATTTTATGGTTGGTGGGATCGAAATAAAATTTGAAACCGAATGGTTTCATTTTTTCAAAATTGAAAAAATCGAACCGAAAACCAAAACGCCAGCCATGCACTAAAGTGAGACAATAAACATTATTCAAATGCGAGACATATTATTCATTTTCATTTTATACACACTATAATTTTATTATCGTATCAATAAAAAAAGGGTGCGCCATAAAATGTAACAATTGTCGTTTATTTCATTAAAAGAAACGGCGCCATTTTTTTTTTTACCATGGTCGATTATATAACGATGGATCTTGTTGGAACATTATTATCATCTCTCTAGTGCTAATCTATATAAGCTTAGCCCACACTGTCAGCTATCAATTTATACCGTGGCCTGATCCAAAACAACATTCAAATTATGTGACTGTAATTAATATATTAGAGTTGAGTTCAAATGAGGACCACTATATTATAGAGAACCGTAAGGACTGATGTAGTCGAGTGCCATTAGTCTGTATGTCGTGTGCCATAATTTGTATCTCTTGTGCATAAGTTTATAATTAATAGAGCCTGGGTTCGAAACTTGATGTTTACATGTATTCTTGTGTATTAAGTTGTGTGCCTGATACTAATTTATCGTGTGCCCATAATTAGTCCGCACAGTCCTCTATATTAAGTTGTGTGCCTGATACTAATTTATCGTGTGCCTGTAATAAATTATGTCCCTACTACAATTAACATGGTATGTATATGCAATTAACACATTATGAGTCTGTAACCAACTTGATTGGCGTGAGTAAACATGCACTCTCATTGCTTAAAAGAGGTCGAGAATTCAAACCCCTCTCGTATGAAAAACCAATCTGGCTAGCATTAATAGGACCCTGGTTTATTACAATAGATGTAGAACTTATGTTTCTCAAGCACAATGTGAACAATATTTTTATGGAAATCTTTCTCTCAATAAAGATTGGTTGATGCGAAGAACAAAATAAACACAATTGTAAAATGAATAACAAATATAATAATAAGAAATGTGGAGGGTAATATGAACTTGGATTAAGTCTAGCTATGTAACCAAATCGAGAATAAGAGAAAGAGTCAATTTGCTTGATAACGGATGTCTTTTAACCAGAAGAAAGTCGACATTCTATGCTTCCATTTTCTCAAAACTGAAGGTTAATTATTCCCTTGAGAGTCTAGATTACGTAATCACTTCCTAATCGGAACTCAATCATGTTAATAAACATTATCGAAGTTAAGTCTTATCTCTCTTACTCATCCAATTCAAGTTCACATCACAATGAATCTAATCTACATCCCTATCATAAAATCAAAGCAATATAAAAAGCAAATAAGAAAATTGCAATGAAATAAAATACTTATCTATTTGAAGATGGAAATCCAAATCCAAGTCTTCAATTTAATCTTTGCTCCAACTAGAACTTGAATTGAAATTGTAATTGCAGTTGAAATTGGATAGTAAATTCTATGGTTCTAAGGAATGGAAAGTAGACTTAGAAATTGGTAGTTGAATTCTACAAGAGAATGGTAACTAACTAAGAAATCTAAAAATGAATCAAAAGTCAAAAAGTCCTAAAATAAAATTCAATTTCTCCTATTTATATTTTCCAGAATAACGTTGCGTCACAAGGCATGTCATGTTGTAATGATGCCACATGACGACCTTGATCACCTCCCAAGAACATTTGGGTCACGAGTCCTTTCACGTCGTGATGAAGTCTCATAGTAGCAGATGATGCCTCGCAGATATTTTCCTCAAGAGTTATTGTCACACCGTGATGACGCCTCACGATAGTAGAGAATGACTTTATAAAATTGTTCTTCAACTCACAAGCTACTTCAAGCACATGACACTCCAGCGTGATGACGTCGTTTTGACTTTCATCCTATTTTGCACATTT